GACGGGGTTTCACCATGTTGACCAGGATGGTCTCGATCTCTTGACCTCGTGATCCACCCGCCTCAGCCTCCCAAAGTGCTGGGATTACAGGCTTGAGCCACCGCGCCCGGCTTTGAAATCTGCATTTTTCTAAGATGACTAATAGATTTTTATTTTTAGATTGATTTTTAAAACAGAACATATAAAATAATTTAACACAGTCTCATTAAACTTGCTTTTCACAGTGGTTGTAACTAGGTTGAACACTTACCATTTAACTGCATTCTCACCAGCATTGACTATTTTATGTATTATTACATCTATATTGTTATATATTATATGCTCTATAGGTAATACATTTTATATATAATATAGAACTATACATATATAAAAAATATATGTTATATGTATATTTTTTCCCTCATAGCTTTGCCACTTGGTAGGTGGAAAATGATTGTGAATTCCTAACAGGAATTGTTACAATTGATTGTCACAAATGATTGTGAACCATCAAAGGAGAATAAAATTCAAGTAGTATAATTTTAAAAAATCTATAGAATGAAAACTTTTTTCTTCAGAAACTTTTTTTTTTTTTTTTGGGCCCTAATAATGGTAATTCTTTTCAGTGTAAGCATAGGAAGTTTGGGTATTACATTATTTCTTTTGAGGGAAAGTGGAATGGAGCAAGATCAGTCTCTGTACTTTCTAAATATGTTTATCGTGTCTACACAGTAGCTTTAAAAATGTTACTGTAAAACACGGTTAAGTAGTGGTGGCTGGATATACCTTCTTGTGTAAAATGAATAATGAAATCCTTCTTCTATAATTGCAGAGTCCTTCAGTATCTCCTAATACGAGTTTCACATCTGATGGCTCTCCATCTCCAATAGGAGGAATTAAGCGAAAAGCAGAAGACAGTGACAGTGAACCTGAGCCAGAGGATAACGTCAGGTGAAGCCATTTTTTGGTAGCACTTTGTTAGCAAATTGCTGAAATAGATGCGGTTCTAATTAATGCTATTTAGCTTAGAGCAGCAGTGCCTTCAGATGCTTGCCTGTGATCTTTTTATCCACCAGTAATTAATGTGGAGGGTTAGAAAAGTCAGTAAATTCCAGAGAGATGGGTAAGCTATAGCTGTTAAACCTAAGTGTCTAGATTAGTATGCGTGCAGGCTTTCGTCCTCCAATCCACTTTTCCCTCTGAGACCAGGCACAAGATCGGCTAGACATGAGGTGTTAGCTCTGACTATGTGATCTGAATGTTGCTGTTTGGAGACTGATTAAATTTTCAAGCTGCTTAACCTAGAAAGTTCAGTTAGTACTTAGACACTTAATATAGTTTGCTTTAATCTTCTCAATTGAAAAAGTTCTTCCTCAAAATGAAATATGCAGAAATCATTCTGTTAAGAGATCAATATGTATGTTTTTTTTAAAAACCACAAACTTGCATATGCACAATTATATTTCATGACAAAGGAGTTTCCCTTTAACTGTATACTTCAAATTTATAATAGGAAGCTGGTTCTTTAATTCATCCTGAAGTTTGAGATCATTATATAAGATTAACAACCTCTCGTATAATTAAATCCAGATTTGAACCGTGGGCTCCAAGTGCAAAAGGCCAACAATCTCAATAATTGTAGCTCATTAAGAATTTAGGAAAACGATCTATTTCAAAGGTAAACAAGACAGTAGTCACCTACAGCTCATGCTTCTTTTACAGGACATGGAAAGTATGTGATTTGTGTTTATGATTAAACTTTGCAAGGATCATGTGTGTTTCTGCATTTTTCTAACATCCTTTGATATCAGATCCATGTCTACTTGTGATCGAACATTTCCTCTGTACATCTTTAGTTTCTGTCCTCTACTTTCTGTACTTTGGATTTTCCCCTTAGCGCATGTCTTTGGTTTTGTTTACTATGTAGCCATCATGATCAATACTAGTTCAATAGGTAACTTGATTCGTTTAGTATTTTATTGTTTAATTCTGGTGCTGAGGATAATCAGAGTGGAAATGCCTCTACCAAAAAATGCTTGGGGCTTTTAGCATTTTTTCATTCATATTTTCTGTAAAATAGTGATAATCTACCTTATGGATAGGGGGATATTTCTAATTATTCTCTGAGTCCTTTGTATTGTGGGAGGGGTATATTACAATTGATATGGTATATTCTGAAACATGACTGCAATTAATATGTGAAATCTGATACGTGGAAAAGAGGCCTAAATGGAGAATCCTCTTGATGTTCTTGATCTGTTCGGATGTTTTTAAAAGTGTTCTTTGGCTTCTTCGTGTTCCTTAAATCAAATGTTAAATCTTAAAGAATAAGAAATGGATTCTTAAAAAAACACAATATATTGGGTGAAAATGTGGTTGGTCACATTGTATTTTCAGTGATGAATGATAATTTAGTGGATTCTTTGACCTGCTTCTAGATTTTACCATAACATACGTATGTTTGTGTGTGTATATGTATACGTAGATATATAGAGATATAGAATGTGTATGTCTCTCTATATATATCTCTATCTCCTTTCCTTAAGCCATCAACAGCTCTTAGCTGAAAGAGGGATAAGGCCCAAGCAAGGATAGAGAGAGTAGGTATACACATAATTTCTGCCTAATGTCTAGATTATTCTTTTATAAACTATTTTTTATATTTAAAAAAGTTACCTGTGCAGCCTAAGTAATTTAGTTGACTCTTTTGTATAGTTTAAATATATTTTAACAAACTAAGGAACTTGAAATATATAAAATATCTTCAATATTTGAATCTTAAAATGTAGCTTTAGAATTGTGCAAAGAAACATGTAAAGCAGTATTAAAATTTGAGCAAACGTGTTCTGTATCTTTTTCAATAACATTTTTAAAAATGTGGTTTTATAATGGTCTTAACAGAATAAGTGATTGGGATGTTAGTGTTTAACTATCTTTAAGTTGATAATAAATCCTACGAAATTAAACTTTTTAGAAATAATGAAAAAAAAAAAAAAGAATGAAATGAATCTGTGTTAGCATGACTGCCTTTTTCGTATTTCCCCTGGAGATATTAAATATAAATTGAATTGGGGTGT